TTTTCTATTTTCCTGTTTGATTATTTTTTACAAACAGAAGGTCGAATAATACAATAACAAATGACACAACAGTCTGAAAATTTCGATTCGATACGACAAGATTCAGCTGTTCCATTATCTGTCAGAAATCTTCAAGCTGACAAATATCGGTCACAATCAAATAATAATAATAATAATAGAAAGAAACCTCCATTACCATTACAAACATCAAAACCTCCAAAAAATTCTGTTAGAATAAAACCTATTGAAATTCCTACACATTTTAAATGGGCATTAATTCTAACGATATTTTGTTTTTTTATTATTGGTCCATGTTGGGCACTTTATAAATCATTGAAATTACGTCGAATGATTCAACGACAAGAATTAGATGCTGCTGAACGTTTATCAAATAGAATACAATCTGTTCTTATAATTTTAACTATACTTGGAATTTTTGCATGGGTTGTAATCCTATTTTGTTCAGTTGGCCTTATATTAACTGGAAAATTGTTAGATGCTAGAGCTATATAGAAATAAAGGATGAATATTTTTTATTTTCTAATATAACGGTCTCGAAATTTAGAAGCTATCAAGTTATTAAACTTAATCATGTAGTAATATATTATAAATATCCAGTGATTTTTTTTTGTATAAATAAATAAGAAGAATTGTTATCAAATTTATTGTGAAACTCTATGAGAATAATAGAAAGCAAATTTTTAAGTGAATGCTTTATCTATTACTGTACATCAATATAAAAGTAAGATAAGAAAAGACAATAAAAATAGTATATATTATAAATCATGCTAAATTACATATGGGAATGACAAACTTATGTTTTTTTAGTACTTGCTGGTACATGGCAAAAAAAAAATTTATTCAGATTGTTCATCAGCCTATTTGTAAATCAATGGATGCATATGTCTAACTAAATCCATAATAATAGCAACTTTTTTTCTCACGTCTATTCGAAATTATGATAATAAAATAAAATTTTTCAACAGCATTAACTTGACATAATTTTTACTAGGTTCTAATTCACTGTGAATTTTAAAAGTTATTTTTATTTTTTGATTAAATGTGAAACTATTATTATGTATTAAAATATTTATTCACTGATTTTCAAGCCTTTACACATTGCTAAGGATATAAGAAAAAATTTGTGAACACAACTTATAATTATCATTAGTGTTAATGCGCTTGAACTCATCAGAAATTTCCATCGAAAAAGGCACAAATCAGTAAAAAAAACAGACTTTTTGCTGCTGACATAATGACAACGTCAACTTCAACACAACAGAAACAAGTCAAGTGAACGCAACATCATTCAATAAACGAGATAGGGTGTGCGTGTTAGAAAGAGCAAAAAAAAAGGTGAGTTCATAGATAGCAGAGAACTCCAATCAATGACAAAAGCTCAAAGAATAGAGAAACATCTTATTCTGCTTTCGATGCTATATCGACTATTTTACAGTCGAGGGAAATGAAAGATTGGACTCTACATATTTGACAAGAACGAATAGATAAGTTATAGTTAAATTTTTCAAAAATAGATCAAAAAACAAATCAAAGAACATCCTCATACACTTGTTTTTCCATAATCCGATAGGTTTTATTGATTTTGATGTCATTTTTTTTTCTAGCTTAGTTTTTTAAAAGATAATTCAAGCGCATAAAGTTTATTTATTGTTACTTCTCGCTTGAACAAACATAGCGATTAAATCATATATGCTATTTTTAATTCGGAAATTCTACTCAGGAAAACGTGGAAGTAAGGTAACTATTTATTAGTATTGATATGCTTCTAAGTGAGTACTACTTTGCTAGATAAATTAATGATGAAGTTATCGCCTACTCAGACTTTCGTTACGCTCGTAAAAAGCATTGTATTTATAAAAAAATAAATATGAGCTTAGTACGGATGCATATAAATAAATTTGATTCCTTTATGCAAGAAAAAAAAAGAATGAAAGAGAAAACAGACAGATGAAAATAGAAGACTTAAAGAGGAAATTGAAAGTGAGTATCGTAATGGATATGTTGTCAAGAGACTCGAGTGAAGAAGGAAACCGGAAAGAGAAAAGAAAACTTATTGTTGTTATACTTAAAAAGAAAAAAGAAAATGACGACAAGACACCATAATCTAAACAGAGAAAGAATCACATAGAACTAATCAGGATAGAAAAAAAAAACTGAATTCAATTTGAAGTAACAAGCCGAACAACACTATTGATTATTCTTGATATACTATTCTCTTCTTTTTTCCCTTTACATCTTAGTTAAGAGCGACTCTTATTAATCTCTGAAAATTACCAAAACTATTGTGTCTTTGTACTTTCGAAAAACCATCATATATATATATATGTGTCGTCCACAATAGTTTCATTTCAATAATTTATTGTCTATCCACTATCCATCTTTCATCTGGTTTTATGGTTGAACAGAATATGAAAAAATTCAATTATTTAATATCAAAAACAGGTGGGCGTATGTGATCAACTGTTTTTTATCACAATTGATTTGTATATTTATATACAGACTAGTGTTATTTAGGAAATAAAGAATTATTTCGGATAGTCTTTATATTAATTGAGATAAAACAGAAATAGAAATCATTTAATTCTCACTATTTTTCATCTGCTATTATTAAGCCGTATCTAGGAATTGATTCAAGTACTGCGATTCAGGAAAGAAGGTGCAAATATAATTAACAGAAAAATTTCCCTTTTTTCTTGACGAGTGATGATTCAATTCACTTGACACTTACATTTAGATTCTTTGATTATTAGACATGCCGCATTCATTTACAATTGATTAAAATAAAGTCACTTTCATCAATAAAATTTTCTTTTTTTTTTCTAGATCTTTTTCTTTTAATGAGAAGAAAATTTGTGTCTCTTTTTTGACCTATACTTATGTGTCATTATAGGAAAAGAGCTACATAAATATTCGGAACATTGATTCTATGTGCGCTCTCTTATACTGCTATCGTTACCATCCATCTCTTTCTCTCTCTCTCCCCCTCTGTCTCTCTCTCTCTCTATATATATATATTATTGCATACATTGATTTTATTTCATTAGAGTTTGGATCGATTCAACATATAAATCCATTTGCTTTTTTTTCTTAATATATTATTATTTCGCTTTTCTTTCTTTTTGTTCTTCATCTACTGCTTTTCCGGAAAAAACCAATCAATCAATCAATGATTCCATTTCTATAAGTCTTATCCTTTTTCTCTTTTACACTGTAGTTAGATGAAATGTCGTTAATGACAATAAATATTTGATACAGACAATACTATATATATGCGTAATGTTAGAATTGTGACATGAACATCATTATTAAAATCTTGTTCGCTATTGTAATATTCACTAAAGGTAATATTATACATTATGGAAGGAACTCTTAAGTTAGAAGAGATGTTCATCTTTTTACTGATTTTTCTTGTTTTTTATGTTGAGGTCATGATTCAACAATGCTTCTTTAGTGATCTGTTAAATATTTACATGTGTTTTTTCTCTATTACTTGTGCAGTTTCTTTGCAAGAGATGAAAATTAGTCTTCTGATTGATTTCATTACAATTATATACAGATAAAAATATTTTACCTCATGAGCCTATCTTTGTACTGGTTGTCATCTATATCAGCAGAATATAAGCGTTTATAATGATTCATTTAATTGTTATATATATATATATATATATTGAAAGAAAATTGCGTGGGCAGAAATGAAAATAAGAAAAAGAACACTATTATATAGTTAGTTGTTAATTATTACTTCCTATTTTGGATCTTAAGTCTATTTATTTCAACTGTATTTTTTTCTGATTAGCATACGCCTGTATGATTGGCATAGAATAAGGAGGAGTAGTTTTTACCAAAATATGCAAAGCAAATGTGCATTTCCTGACTGATGTTTGACATTGTATGTCACCGTCATAAGTACTGTATGACAACATCTATTATCATTGACGATGTCTTTTCTTATCATTGTCAGGATTGCGTGTTTTTATCTATTTGACACCTAGTTATATTGTATGATTTCGTTCGATCGCCAAATTCTTCATGCTATTTCAATTAGTATATTTTGAGAGTGAGAGAGAGAGAGACAGACAGACAGACAGAGAGAATAGAAATCAATGATTCCTTGAGACAAGACTATTGATTTGTTATTACTCTTCGTTTCTTTCATTTCATTTGAATAGAAGACAACATCACAGATAGATCAAACATAGAAAAAAGAAGAAAAAAACAAAGAAAGTTGCAATTAATGTCACATACAAACGTCAATCAAATAGTCTCCTGCTGACCTCCACCATACACACATATTCTCGTTTGATCTCTCTTGAGAATTGTAAGATTGCAATGAAAAATGAGATGATTGCATATGTACGGAGAACCAAGTACTACTCATTGCCTATCACTCATCTGGATAATTGTGTCTTGCATTTCGTATTTTTATTTAAGATTGTTGAAGTATCATCATCGATCTTTATATAATGTTCTTATATTTTTTTCTTGATAAAGAGAAAGAATGAATAAAAAAAAACGAGAGAACGAAAATAGATGAGTATGCCATTAGGTAAAGTAGAAATGCTTATATTTTTTTTGGTTTCTCATAGTCAATCTTTTATATATATATATATATATAGGTTTTCTTTCATTTAATATATATAAGTAATGTTTTATTATTTAAAAATGTTTATCTATGTCATCATATACCTGAATTGATTGAATTATATTTCATTGGCTAAATGAAACCATGTGTAATTCTGATACTATTTTAATGGAATACCATACAGCATAATAACTAAAATAGTTATTTGTATGTTTGAAAGAACAGATGTAGTTAATATGAATTTTGGGATCATTTCTTTACAAACTATTTGTAATGTTTTTCTTGTTACTCATAGACAAAATTTTCTATAGAAATTTATTAAATTCAAATATATATTTCATTATTTATCTATATTTCAGAACATCTGACGAACTGCTAATTCCTCGTCCATTTCATAATGATATCCGACATTCTGGCCGTGTTCGTCGTTACACTTGTCTCATCATTGTTTTTACCCACCACATATGTGCATGGTTTCCCGATCTCACCATCAACCCTTCGCTATATCCGTCGTCATCCATCTGCTGATTTATATTCTTCACTCAGGCTCTTGCGTCATCATCCAATACCGAGTATTGATTATGATTTAGGTGGTGATATATCTCAAATGTTGATTGGCGAAAGCAGCGAATTATCAACAATTAACGATCAAGATGATCATTCATCATTCTTGGATTCTTCTCTTCATGCATCCCATGAGCCATTCGAGTTTTATCGTCAACCATTATCATCTAAATCATTGTCTAGAAAATTATTATTATTAAAAAACCAACATCAACAAAAAGAAGAAGACGAACAACAAGAAGAAGAACAACAACAACAACAACAAGAGAAACGATCCTCATCACCATTAATGGGTACATCACCTTCATTACCGACACAATTCAATTTCAATCCGGCTATCGCTTCAGGAGCATATGCTGATCCATCTCATGCAAAGAATATTGTCAATTTTAGTCAGTTGAATGAATCGACACGTTTATCACCTTCTCTCAAGCTTTTGGTTGAAACAAATCCACTTGCGCGTGCTTGGCTTACTCTACTCTTACAAAAAGTTATGGAAGAACAACAAGTACCGTACATTTTCAAGTATGGTCGACGTCGCAAGAAATAATTGAATACAAAAAATTTATTATCAATCATAGTTCAACGACGAAACGCGAGCCAAGAAAGTCATTTTTCCATCATTATTTCATCATCGTCATTTTGACATCGCACAAAAAATTTGTAATATCACCATCATCATCATTAGAGCCAACATTATGTCTGAATGTGCCGGAGACCCAGAATAAAATTCCTTTGCCTAAAAAAAAATATTCATATTATAAGCATGTAAACATTTCCAATCATATAAAGCAAAAACAAAATAACAAAGGCTTTTTAATTCAGTGAAAAGTCATGTTTTTTTTTTTTCGTTAATTATGAATTGAGTGCATAGATAAATATGATTGATATAGCCTCTTCATTGTCTCGTGATTGAATGTCATTGAATATTTATTTCTTCTAAGCAACAAGTCAAACAGTTTATATATATTAAAGAATCATTTATTATAATATCAGTTCTATTCTGTCTAATCATTATGTTTTGAGTACTATGTCAAAAAAGACTTCTTGTTACATTCAATCAACATTATTTATTCATGACATATCATTAGTGTTGAAAATTAGTCTTCTTTTTTTATAGCAACACCTTTAATCTATATATAACGCTGTTGTTCTTATTAGATTTTTTTTTAAAATTCTGTGCATTTCAACTATCACAAAAAAAAAAGATAATCGAAATCTATATTTATTCAATGAATATAAATTAATATCTTTTGTATAAGCAAAATGAAATTATCTATTAATAATTCAATAAGATGAACGAAATAGTAGACATCGGAGATTTTCAAACTCAGTGCATAGAATAATCTTCATGAGTATCATTGATAACATAATGGTATCGATTTTTTCATAGAAATGAAAATTAGATTATGATGTTAAGCATAGTTGTGCGGAGCATAAGACGATATTGAATTCAAAATTCTTTATTACGCCGCGAGAAAATGATATTATTAAACAAAGTCATATTGAAAATAGAATCCTGTAAATCATGAAGAAAGAATTGTTATAATATATTTCATATCAGTTGCTCAGCATGAATTGAATAATTAAAATGATTCAGCTTCATCATCAATATAATCAATTTCTTTTTGCTCGATTAAAATATTACTTTTTCTTTTGTAAGATCACGAGTAATTTATATCTTTAAATGTAAATAACTTTAGGTACTTTTAAGCAAGCATATCATTTCTCAAATCTGAATTTCATTTTTGTACAATGATAATCCGCAACAGTTAGCATTGAGGAGGCGTTGTAATTTTTAATAATGGGGCATTTTCTTTCTTCTAAAAGAATGCAAAAAGAGAAGTTCAGTTCCGCTGAAACAAAATTAAAATTTTTTACTATTGGAGGGGGTGTAACACCCCCGACATCTTCCGAGTTGAACTACCATTGTTTGTGTCAATGACTTTCTTCACTCTTGAGATTCATTATAATGCAATAGATAAAAAAAAATCATAATAACTATATATTGATTACAATATTCTCGGGGGAGGTCTTAAAATAACTTCTTGACTATTATTATGAATGCTAAAAAAAGGATAATAAATTTTAATACATGATAGCATTGATTTTGAGAAAAAAAACCCTTTTTATTTTTCAATATTTCTCTAATTGTAGTTCTTAGTTTACATATGCATATCATATTTTTAGAATTAATATGGAAAGAAAGACTAGTCTATCGATCATTTGATAATCAAACAATATTTTAACGAAAAAATTTGATAAAAACAATATTTTATGAGAATGATCGTCTCATATATGAATTTCTGGAGATATTTACTTATAGTCATTTAATCCTTGAAATTCTGAGTTATTCTCTCTTTCTAACATTCTAAGCTATTCTAGATGATAAATTAAGCATATATTTTTCAATAATTTTTTATTCATTTCGACGATTTTTGAATAAATATCTATAAAAAGTGTTGTTGTTGTTGATTAAACAGCATAATATCACTGATATTAGTTTGCGACATATACTAACTGTAGAATGTATACCTAGTTCAATAGTTTAAATATCGCACAGATTCAGTAGAGAACCTCATCTAAAGATAATTCTTCATTGTTGATAATTTTATTTGTTCATACAAGTCTAATATTGAATATGTATTTTCATTCTCAATTGAATATAACACATATTAACAAGAGTGATATGATAGTTGAGCCTTCTGATATTTGAGCTTCTGACATTTGAGTTTTAATAGAATATCAACATAAAAAGCTTATATTATTTCAAAATTGAATTAAAAAAAACTTCCACTTATTTGAAATAATGCTATCTAATATATCATGTGTATTGCAAGTTTTAAACATTTTTACCATTATATTATTATCAAAAAATAGAGAATTTTCAAAAATATACTGGTAGTTGCAGAATTTAACGATCTATATTTTAGTATAAAAAATTTTGAAAAAATTTTAATCCCTAACTAGAGAAATGTTTCGTTATATAAATATTGATCTTCAAATATTCTATTAGAAAGAGCAATGAAAGCTGAATAACATTGTATATGTTTGTTATGCAATCATTAATTTATAACAGCTTTTTTTTTAAACCACTAATAAAAATTTAATTTATTCTATATTAATAATGAAGAAAACTGAGCTCTAAACATAAACTTGAGATTATCAAAAAAGAATGCATTTTTGTAGAGTAGACTTTGTTGGATCAAATGAGGTTTTGTACTCTCTTATGCAATATGATTCTCATATGTTAGAATCCTTTTATATTTGATCACTAATTTCAGCGATGATTTTTAGTTAGTTTTTTTTGCCTGCTTCATACTTATATAAACTCTAAGTGCAATTGTTGATGAGCAACACATTGTCTGAATGGATGCAGTCTTTTTGGAACAATAAAGTCTGCTTTAAAAATGTACTATTCTTTAAAGTTTTAAAGTCTAGTTTTTGAGCTCAGTTTCCTTAATGATTAATAAAGAATTAGCGAAGTTTTAATTAGTTTATAAAAAAAACTCAGTTATAATGAATTATTGCAAACCAAAAACATACAATACTATTTAGTTTTCATCACTCTTTCTGATAGAATTTTTCAAGATTAAAATTTGTATGACGAAACATTTTCCTAGTTAATAATTAATAATATTAATTAATTATTTTTTGAAAATAATCTGTTTTTCGATAACGATGTAATTACCGAAACACTAAGCGTCTTAAACTTTTGCCTGTTAGAGAAAAATACATGTTCCTTCTTTTTCTTCACACTACAATTAATTAGATCTGCAATAGATGTTTTGTATAGAGCTTGTCTCTAACTTTATATGACACTTCAAATATGTCATGAACCTTCTTTTCTTTCATAGAAAATAGCGAAGTCAAAAGTGCAATGTACTTTATATATATATAACGAACGGGTGGTCGCAAAGTTTTCAGACAAAATGTTGAAAGCTGAAACATATTAATAAAAGCTATTGGAATAAATTTTTTTCATCGGTTACATAGCTTATCTTATCCTCTATCTATACTATTACTTTGAGATTTTTCGATTAAATATTTGTTGTGAAAATGATTAATCTTCATAAACGTGTTTTTTCTATGCTTGGACAAAAAAAAAGATAACGAGGACGCATAATAAAGGGCTGCACTTTGTACCTCGTATTGTTATGTCTAAATACATTTTATTAGACAAACAAAATGTACCCCAAGATGCAGCATAAAAAGGTCTATAATCTACAAAATAAAACTTATTTTAATTGTGTGCTTTTTCTGTTCAAAAAAAATCAAAATTCCATACAACCAATTTTTAACTCTAAGAAGAAGATCATTTTGTGCTATACAAGTTATTTCTTTTCATAGCGTCGAAAATTGGTTGCGTAGAATTTCGTTTTTTTAAAAAGAAAAAGCACACAATTAAAATAAGCTTGACTTTGTAGATTATAGAGCTTTTCATGCTGCATCTTGTGGTACATTTTTTTTGTCTAATAAAATGTATTTAGACATAACAATACGAGGTACAAAGTGCAGCCCTTTATTATACGTCCTCGTTATCTTTTTTTTGTCCAAGCATAGAAAAAACACGTTTATGGAGATCACTCATTTTCACAACAAATGTTCAATAGAAAAATCTCAAACTAATAGTATAGATAGAGGATAAGAGAAGCTATGTAACCGATTAAAAAGAATTTATTTGGATAGGTTTTATTAATATGTTTCAGCTTTCAACATTTTGTCTGAAAACTTTTCGACCACCCGTTATATACATATATATTTGTATATGATTGAATAGTAACTTTTAATATGATTGTCATGAAAAACTAAACGTATTAAATGGCGAAAATTTCCCAAAACTCCACTGAATATTAAGAAAAATACATGTTCTCTAGTTTTGTTTATGCTGAATTCAGTATCAAATTCAGTTTACTTGTTGAAATAGTGCGACTCACATTTCAGTTCTCTATAAAGGGTAAGAAGTCAGGAAAGACCAAAATATACTCGAATTTGTTTGCATTTATCTTGTTCGTTTAGATTATATTCAAAAAAGAAAAACTATTCTCGGATGAGTTTAACTGAAAATATCTGCTTTAAAATCGTCATTCTACATTTTGTAATATGATTTCAATTTCTTCTGAATGCTAAAAGAAAGCTGATAACAGAGAATTTTTTTTCCTCAGTTTGCTACTAAAAGAGTTCTCTTTCTTTTCATAGTCTGCATACCGGCAACTCTATCACAGGCAGAGTTAGCATTAATTGTGTGTTACTTTACACGACAACATGCAAGTATCTGTCAAGCATTGTAAACGTCAAACAAAGAAATGAAATTTAAATTAGCTATATATATATTTTAATAGAGTGTCGAATCTTGTACAAAATAGATTAATTACATCCTTTTCCTCGCACATGTCAACAATAAAATGACGTTTTTTGTAATGGATCTCTCATAATTCAGCTATAGTATGATCTGAAGCTTCATGCGACTAGCAGGTGTTCAAAGAAAAATAACATATTAAAAAAAAAGCTGTCCAAATCCGTTGAGAGAAACATAATTTATTAGCCAAA